CTGCTCACCTTGCCAAACTAATAAAGCTTTACGCAAAATAAATAGAGCCCCTATGCAAATAACAAGTTCCTCCACAACTCCCTTTGAAAGATTGTCCCTAGACATAGTCGGACCTCTCCCAGAGTCCGGGCCTGCTAAGTTAAAATACATATTAACTCTCCAAGATGATTTAACAAAGTACTCAATAGCTTACCCAATTAGAAACACCACCGCCGAAGAAACAAGTGAGTGTCTGATTCACTTTATATCCTTATTTGGAATCCCTAAAACTATCCTCACAGATCAAGGTACCAACTTTACAGCTGAATTATTCAAACAAACCTGTAACTTCTAAAAATAAAACAGCTGTGGTCGTCTCCTTACCACCCCCAAACTCAAGGTGCACTAGAGCGCAGTCATTCCACGTTAAAAGAATACCTGAAATCCTATGTTTGTGAAAGCCAAGATAACTGGCCGAGATACGTTTATACAGCGATGTTAGCGTATAACACAGCTATACATACTACAACTAAATATTCACCCTACGAATTAGTATTCGGGCACAAACCCTATATTCCAAATTCCGTGTATGAAACTGCTTCCGACGTCACTTACCCGGACTATGTTAAAATGTTACAACACCGCCTCAAATATACGAGAGATAAAGCTGTAGAAAATATAAATAGGTCGAAAGAAGTGTCCAAAACTTATTACGACTCGCGTTCGCGCTCAATGAAATATCAAGTCGGAGACTTTGTCTTCCTCAAAAACCACCTAAGATTACGTAAGGCCCTATCACCGATTTGGAAGGGACCCTATAAAGTAATAAAGGTAAATGGTAGAAATACTCTTACATTACTTATAAACAGACGCCACGTCACTCACCACTATGATGAAGTGAAACTTGCTCGGCGCCGCGATTGATTAATAATAAAAAAAAAAAAAAAAAAAAAAATATATATACGGATAAGTTACTTATAACTCCTTTTATGTATACGAAATAGTAAAATTCATTAACTCTATAATTTTATTACAGTAGCCTGACCTGGGCACAAGAGCAATTCTTCCAGTCAACAGCAAATAGTCCTGGAATTTATTTCGACCCCATCGGTTCTTTAAAAATAATAGATCTTAGTGTAGTTATTCCGAATGATATTTCATTTATTAAACCCCATTTCGATAATCTAAACGGTGTGATAGGAACCTCCCGACACTTATGCAGACGCAGTAATATTTTTAATGAAGTCGAGTGTCATAATATGTTGCAACCATTATCTATTCGCTACTATGAAATAGTACGTAATTTTGAGTCAATTTCTCATTTAATAGAAAGTCGTTCACGGCGATCTGCATGGTTTTCCGGAATCGGAACCGTATTCAAACACCTCTTTGGTACAATGAATGAAGACGACGCCATTAGATACAGCGATGCAATTCAAAATGTAGAAAATGACCAAACTAGATTATCTAATTTAATAAAAGAAAATATTTTGATAACAACCTCGACTCTGTCGTCTTTTAAAAAGACAATAAATAAAATTACTATAAATGAGCAACAATTAGATATTGCTCTGGAAAATTTATCCCATAGTCTGCAAAATGTCACTATGATTACAGACAATTTATTGATAAGATCTAGGTTAAATCAAATGTTAAATATCTTAGAAGGTATTTTATTAACATTATCTTTTAAACTCGAAGACATTGTCGACGCCATTATGTTCAGTAAATCAAATATATTACATCCATCTATCATTACACCAAAACAGTTATTCGACGAATTAGTACAAAACTATCGATTTTTACCAAGTTCTAGGCAATTCCCTGTTAGTTTATCTTTGGAAAATATTTACTTGTTACTAAATATATCCGACATCGCTAGTTACTATAGTGAAAATAAAATTGTATTTGTTTTAAAGATACCATTAGTATCCCCTAAGGAATATAATCTATATCACTGTTTACCCTTTCCAGCAATGATTGTAAAAACTAATATTACACATACAACAATAATGCCGTCGACTAAATATATTGGTGTAACTAGAGATAAGTCTTTTTACTGTAAGATGAATAGTGTAAATAGATGTAAGGTCCTATACAATCGCTATTATATTTGTGATTCTATAGATATGTATTCTAGTTCTGCAACACCGATCTGCGAATCGGAAATAATGTCTAAAGCATTAAACTCTGTACCAGCCGTATGCGATACTAAATTCTTTCAAGGCCACGTCGAAATTTGGCAATCTTTGTCTAATAATAAATGGCTATATGTAATAAGTGAAAATTCTAAACTATCAATAGACTGCCAATCAGAGATAAACGAAAGGAACATTGTGGGTTCCGGTATATATTTAACCTCCCTTCTAATTGTGTTGCTTATTTTAAGGATTTAAAGTTACTTCCCAAATATTCTAAAACCATAGAGATTCATCCTATTAATTATGCTATTGATATACTTAACGATACATGTTGTAATTTCACTAGATTTCAAAATATTAACTATAAAATTCCGTCGTTAAATTTAAGAAATATTAATTTAGACTCACTATTATCTGAACACACTAAAGTCTCTAACCAGATAATAAAAAACTTAGATTCTTTTGCAACTAAGCCGCATATTATTCTCTACGGTAATCATTACTCATATACAACTATTGTTATTTCTATAATAATTGTTTCATTGATTTTATTTTTAGTATATAAACATTGTAAGCCTGGCATGTGTAACCGTATTTTAAAAAAGAAATTTAAAAATAAGCTTAATATTGAAAGTGCCCAAGACCTATCAGATATCCCCCCTGAATCTCCTAAACCCTCAATACCCAAGATTAGAACATCATTTACATAAAAACTTCACCATTTTGGTGTAAGTTTAGTCTCAACCCCGAGGGCTGTTATATATGCTCCCTGTATATAATAGACCTGACCTAGCCTGCTACCTAATCCAACCCTTGTCAGCATATTTGTAAGCACTAGATGCCCCCTGCATTGAAGAGTCAGTTCGTCACAAGCATCCAAAGCGGTAACACTTGCCCGACATTCGAATTCCATTCTGATCTATTATATTTCAAAGTGTTTTAATAAGAAATATATACATTTTGTGATTTAAACTTTTTTTAAAAACCTAAATTCCGAAAACCGTATAACAAATTTGGTGGCAGCGGTGGGATTTTACCTATATAATTTGGTAACACAATCAATTGCATTTAATGTCCTTTACACAAACAAAGAGTACTGGCACAGTGGATGGTTTTTTTAGTTATTATTTTTTTGTTATACTATAGAAGTGTAGCTTCTTATGTGCGTATTTAAGTACACACATACTTTTTTTATTTATATTTTTATTTACACACATTTTTTTTATGGAAAAAGGAACGGGGAAGCGGGTCATCTCATTGTAAGTGATTACCGCCCATGGAGACCCGCAAAACTAGATTAAGGGTTGCCTCCCTTAAGTAGAAATTCTTTAAGGTCCCTAAACCGTATCGATCGGGAAATACCGCTGGCGACAACTGGTTCCATAAAGTAGCTGTGCGGGGCAGTAAATTCCGTAGGAAATCCACTTGGTCGACCGCCAACCAACCTGGTGGTGTCGACAATAAGGTTTGATTATTTAATAAGGTTTCGGACACGCTGGCCCCATCCCATCTACATGGAACCAACAACAGGGCTGTTGCGGCTTGTGAAATGGCTGAGAACGTTAAAGCCTGCAAATACAGAGGTCTAGGCTCCGAATTGTCCCGGTCGGTGTCAGGACCCTTGGTCCGTAGGGTCCTAGCGCTATTAGGCTTTTTAGCAAAAAGGTTAGTCGACATCACAGGAGACCGAAGAGCTGGCAGCTACCTCTGACAAAGAATTAGTCTAGCTGATCAAAGGGGCAACGCTGCCAGTATCTTCGGAACCTTGCCTAAAGGGACTCCTTTTAATAATATATTTTAGTTATTACATGATTTTTGTTTCTTTTTAAGGTTTTTTACTTTTAGTTTCATTGTTCTAGTATATTTTGTATTAGTTTATTTATCATTTGTATGTTATTTAAGTTTGCTTATAGCATTTTACTGGATATAATTTTTAAGACTGATTTAAAATGTAACATAAGGTTTATCATAATTAATAGTTTTGAATATTGTCATCTGTGCCTTGGTAAAATACATTTTGCGATAAAAAAAATAAGGTTTGACGAGTTGCACGATGGTGAAATTCGGCTGCAAGTAATCAACCCGAACAATTCCTGGGAGCACCCGTGGTGCACCAGTGAGGAACACACTCAAGGCCAATCACATCACACATTTTTATTGCGTACACATCACTACGCAAGGCCAAAGTTTTGATGATTGTGGCGATGGGAAAGGAATGGCTACATGTAACGTAAGTGAATGATAAAAAATGTTGCCATTTTCATATTCACTAACCAAATCTACACATAGACGGAACATTTAAGCCGGCCGTAAGCGCTACTATCTTCATGTCTCGTATTTAAGACCGTGGTCTCTTTTACTTTTTTAAAATCATTGCCCTTACAGTGGGATAACAAATGTTGCCATATTCATATTCACTAACCAAATCTACACATAGACGGAACATTTAAGCTGGCCGTAAGCGCCACTATCTTCATATCTCGTATTTAAGACCGTGGTCTTTTTTACTTTTTTTTAAATCATTGCCCTTACAGTGGGATAACAAATGTTGCCATTTTCATATTCACTAGCCAAATCTACACATAGACAAAACGTTGAAACCGGCCGTAAGTCACGCAACTATCTTCATGTGTTGTATTTAAGACCGTGTTTTTTACCATTTTAAAATCATTGCCCTTACTGTAACAATATCCTGTCTGTGTAAGGAAGTTTTACATACATAAACTTCACGCGGACAAACACCCAGATCCGAAACAAATACTTGTGGGTCACACAGCTGTCCCGTGTGGTAACCGAACCCACGACCCCCCGCTCCCAAACCACACTTCGGCAACTGCGCCATGAAGTCGTCAATTTCCTGACAACTGATCCCTCACTTACCTAAACAGTTTGCTCCGCTCCGCACAGTAATCGGACGTCTCCTCGGCCGTGAACCACGGGAGCGAGCTACATCTTATGTCCTTGAATCGTCCTAGCCAGCGGCCGGCTCGGAAGGTCGTGTTCGCGACGCATTGCGCCTCCTGATTTTGAACAAATAACACCGTTTAATTGTTTTGGTGTGAAAAGTTGGCATACGAGCAGACGGTTCACGTGATGTTGATTACCGCCGCCAATGGACGTCTACAACACTTGGGTTGCAAATGCATTGCCAGCCTTTAAAAAGTGGGCCCCGGTAACCTCACTCATCAGACGAAACGCGGCGTATAGTACTTCCACTTCACGCCGGTCTTCTGTTAGGCCGTGGTACCTCCACAGACGGACCTGCCCACTTGAGAAACAACAGAAGCTTCTACGTAGCTCAATCACAGTAAAGCTTCGCAACTCAGGCTAAAATCCACATTGAGAGGTGTAAGGGGGCATAGATATATAATGATACTAGCTGGCCCGCGAAACTTCGCCAATTCGTCTGCGCCAATTCTACCAGATCCATACATTTCTACTTTTAGCATAGCGCCATCTATCGCATACTTACTTAATCCAGCCGATAAATTTATCTTACACCGCAATCTGTTAGAATCTTATGGGACTCACAGATAGCTCTTTGTCGTCTATTAAACAAATAATTTGCAATAACAAATATTGAGATCAATAATTGGGATAAAAACTAGACTATCTCCCAAGTTGGACCAAATTACAAATGCTTACACAATTTGATAAAAATTGGTTCAGTAGTTTCGGGAGTTTATCGCGAACGTACATTGTGACACGAAATTTTTATATATATATAAGATTGCAATAAGCAATAGATAAGATGTAAGATTCTGTTCAAAACTTTAAAAAAAACAATGTTGTTTGCCACCATCCGTGGAGATCTACGGTTACCTACCTCACTGTCCAGATGATAGACGAAAGTATTATACTTCCACTTCACACAGTTTTTTATGAAGCCGGGGTAATTCCCCGGACGAGCTTTTATACGGAGCATTATCTCATGAATCGTGTTAGCTAGATAGTTGAAATTTTCTCAGATTATGTATTTCTGTTGCCGCTATAACAACAAATTAATACTATAAAACGAAATAAAAAAATAGTTAAGTTGAGCTCCCATACAACAGTCATGATTTTTTTGCCGTTTTTATAGATAATGGTACGGAACCCGTCGTGCGTGTTACTGTTTCGAGCGACAGTAACACGCACACTCAGAAAATCCAAAATTAGCCGATTGTGTCTTTCCAACCATTCATTTGCAATTTATATCTAATTTATATATTTAATATGAATTGTTGTTTTAAAAATATTGAAACGTGTCATACCACATAGTTAACATCAGTTGTGTCGTTGCCTAAAACGACAAACTTTTTGTTGCCCGGGCACCCTACGAGCAGCGTTTCCGAACGCCGCAACAAAATGTCACCAGACGGTGTGTTTGGCGCCAAATACGTGCCATTCTTTATATAAACCGGCGAAGGTTCTCCGAAGTCGGTCTTCAAAGTAAGCATGCAATCTGAAACACGAATAACATTAATATTTAGACAGCATTAGGCCAGCCAGAAGTACGTATTTGGCAAGTATTCATTCTAGTGTGACAAAACCTTAGTTGTACCTTTTATACATATATTGTAATATCATAGATGTAGTTGGTTCAAACCCCCACTCAGTGTATCCAAAATAGTACAACATTTGGTATTTTAATCAAAAATCGAACTATGTGTACTCTTTAATGATTTTACTCGGTTTTATTTATTTGTAGAGCAACGACAATTTCTAATATTGATGTCATTTTATGCAATTTTTGTTGTTTTATTTTCTTGATACAAAGCCTTAATACTAAGATCAGACTACGCCAATATTATTATTAATATATTATATATTAATAATAATTTTGTTTATACATGTGGTATATCTCGAAATATTTAATAATAATTATTATTAATATATTCAATAAATTGAAGTTTTTTTCAATTTTTTATTAATTACACTTTTTTATTAATTAAATAATGTTACGATTAAAACAAATTCAATGGATTTAGAAAATAACCGGCTGTGCGTTTCGCGAGCCTGGTCCTTCGGAAAAAACCTATTTACAGTTGGAAGTTAGTACAATGTGTTCCCTGTACCTTCTTTATAAATAGAAAAAAAAAATAGAACTTACTGCTAGTCACACTATCTGTCATAACCAAACAAAAAAACACAATAAAACAAAATAACTTCATCTTGAAGTTCATATTGATTGAACAGCTTATGAACTGCATGCCATAAAATCTTTATTAATTATGAACTGCATATAGCGACGTGCTGTACTAGCGACAATGCCAGACTTCTATAACGGTGCTTAGTCATCGCCTATATTGTTTAGTTGGTATAATCGCGTACAAAATGTTAACGGGCATTAACATTTATTAAATCAATGGAAAGATTTAATAAGGACAATATATTTGTCTTGCGGTGAGTAATGGCCAATGAGTAGGTACTACTAATCTAGAGAAATTAGAGCAATATTAAAGTTAAATCCCCTATTACCGTAATCCATGCACATAAAGTACACATCTACGTAATGTCCTGCATTTGCATATAAATATAAACATATTTACGGCGCATTAAACAAACACACACAGACTAATAATGTATTATACAGATATCCTTCTCTATCAATTGACGTGTCTCTAGACAAATAAGGCTAACAGCCATTCCAGTTAGTCAAGTTCATCGTTAACGGGGCATTGTACGATATAGCGTCCATTTATTCTTGAATTAAAGCGAGGCCACTTTTCTTTATGTAAATCCGACAGACGTCATATTGGCGGATTTTATCTCAAGGAAAAATTCTGTTTCTGATTGCAATACAAAACATTTTTGCATTTCACGACATGGCTATAATTATACTAAACATTTTCTGTCCTTATTGCTAATTAAGGTTTTGTCACAATTAAAAAAAAGTTAAAATATTTCAAGACATATTTTTACACAACGTTATCTAGTCCTAAAATACCTAAGTACTATGGATACTAAATAAACATACTTAAACATAATTTTCTTTTGTAAATAAAAACATATTGTTCATAAAATATCTAAACACCCAGACACTGGAAAAACACGAAAAATGTAGGTTCGCGGTTATTGTATGATGAGCATGTTTTCACGCACCTGAGTGATTATACAACGTGCTGTTACAAACACGACAATAAATGAACACGTGTCTTGCCAATAAGCATAAAAAATATAAAACGTTAAAAAATCCATAATTAAAAACAATATTTTTCAAACACACTAATTAAATAAAAAAGAAACAAAATTTGCAACACCTATACAACTACAACTGACTGATTCATACATTCAGACACACTTTCATTCATTGCCGCAGCGTCGCATTACAAATCTCTCCTTCTAACAGTATGTTTTATCCCTTTCAAATTCATTCAACCCATTCATATGCCTTGTGACCTTTACAAATGAATTTTACGTTACCGTTTTATACGTAAGGCTGTTCTAAAATCGTTTGTTATTCATATGCCTTGTGACCTTTACAAATGAATTTTACGTTACCGTTTTATATGTAAGGCTGTTCTATAATCGTTTGTTTTGGAAAATTCGGAAATTTTACGGTGGTAGGGCCACGCAGCAGCTTCGGCTGTTACACGAATGGGCAGGCCCGTCCGGGTAAGTACCACGACCTCACAGAAGACCAGCGTAAAGTGGCAGGATGACAAATACTTTCGCGTTTCGTCTGGTGAGTGAGGTAGCCGGAGCCCAATTTTCAAAAGGTTGTCAACGCATCTGTAACCCTCGGGTGTGGCAGATGTCCATGGGCGGCGGTATTCACTTAACATCAGGTGAACCGTCTGCTCGTTTGACAACTTTTCGCATAAAAAAAAAAAAATTCAATAACTCGGTAAATATTGATGTTTAAGGAATGTAAATGATTAATACAATTTTAATAAGCTATGAATTATCCTCTAAATGTCTATTGATTTATGGTCGCGTTAGTAGCGACACGCTGTATGTGATATCAATAACATTATGTATTTATTTACAAAATTAAAAGCATATTTAAATAATTTGTCAGCTTCCGTCGCAGAACAAAATTTTAATAAAAAAATTTCGGACTTATTTTTTACGCAACATTTTTTTTTACTAAAAAAAAATTTGACGCCAATTTGAACGTCAAAATTATTAATTGGTGATGATTTCGCTCTCTGTTCTTCGCTAGTCACGCCGCGGGAAAACATGGGAATGTTGAACTATTGTGGACTGCAGATTTAATTACATTTAAGTATAAGAGATCGTGTGCAGTCCACATGAATATTTGAATATTTAAGAAGCTTCGTCACGTTATACAAACAGCTCTTACTTACGCAATGTATATTGCGATTAGGTCTTACCGCCGTAAACAGAGATTTCAACGAGATTTCAATGAGATTTTAAATTACAGCAAAGCAATTTACATCCAAAAGGAGTCTTATTAATAACTGTTTAAGGAACAGCTATCTAAATTTGATCTCTGAATCAGCTCTATATATGTATTTAGTGCAAACTGAGTTGCCAGATCTTTATAATTTTATACAGCTGATGTTTCTGCTTTCGGTCCGTAGACTATTCAAATTCAAAATATCTTTTTTCAAATAGACGCTTGCGCGTTCTTATGAATCGCAGAGTTTTAAAAATAAATATGTATAGGTGGTCTAGCCTGATTCGATGGCCTCGATACAGCCCTCTTGGTTGGTTATAGGGGACGCGCAATTGTGCGTACGCCTTATCTATTAGGTGAACAATTGTCACGTAAGCGCCATCGCCGGTATAAACCACATGATGGCGGATGGCTGGTGACGGCGAAAGCCGCCACCTACGCGTTCCAGGGCAGTTCTCACCCCCTTGTATTGCCATGCTTGTTGACTAGGACGCACTACTTGGTTTTATGTGCCATCACTTTATATATCGAGGGGATGCCTTCATTTATCGGGCGATTGAGGACGTTAAACGTACGCTCCCGAACGGTGGTGTTAAGGTTTTATCAGTGATATGAGGTCTCTGATTGCGATGACATTATACTATTATATCCTAAATACGTCACTTTCGACATGTCAACGGTCGTCAAGTGGAGAGAAATGTTGAAATATTGTGTTTCACATCGAAATCCACAGACAGCCCTTTGCTGCTCAATATCTTGTGCCCCAAACATGCAATAAATGGGTTGACATTATTTACGCTAGCAAATAGCGTACGTGCTTGCGCGCCTGTTTGTTATTATTTTCTTTCTTCTGTTAAAATTGACTACCAGGGCCAGTTCAACTCGTGTTAAGTAAAAACTGCTGCCCGTGGACATGAATTTACTAGAACATATTTCACTTTTCAAAGAAAAAAAAATTTCTTTAACACAAAAACTCTTGTCTCAATAGCCTACCCATTCATAATAAGTAAGAATTGCTACATTGATACATCAAAATGAATATAGGTACTCATTTACTACAAAAATCTTGCGAAGATTAGACTAAATAAGAATTCACTTTATATTTTATTAACAAATCTTGTACGACAAATGTTATTCAAATCAATTGTCACATATAACTTTCTCAGTAAGTTTATCGTTCAATAACACATTAAACAATTCAACAATTAATCATCTAGTTCAAATTTGTATGTTATTTTTTTTTAATGCCTGTATTTCGCGACTGTCCGAAAGATTAAAAAATTACAAAATTCAAACATGCGCCTCGCTGTTATCAAATGTAAAGAGAGGAAAATTAGGGTAAACATTAGATCGATAATGCGACACATATTATATGATGGTATATTCTCATACGTGATGGTGGCATACATCGTATAGACAGAGTATATACTATACAAAAACGCCACAATATCCCACACTTCTGCAAATTAAACTATGATTGAATGGTTCACAAGTATGTTCCCCGTGACTTTGCAGTGCGCGCAGGGCCGGATTTAGGGGAGGGCAACAGCCTCTACAAACGAGGGGCCCACAATATAGACTTCGGAAAAAAATTCAAATTCAGACTAGTAAACAATAGTGAACAACTTTTCCTTTCATATTTTTTTCGCGTTTTACTTTTACCTACAGTACTTTGTACAAAATTTATTACATTAAAATAATTTCGGGCTAAGGGGCCTCCACTCATTTGTTGCCCCGAGGCCTCCAGACCTCTAAATCTGGCACTGAGTGCGCGGGAGGGAATCAAAATTAAAGATGCGTTAAATTTCATGATGTCACCAAATGGAGTGACGACCTGTGCAAATGTGCGGGAAGTCTATGGATGCAGGTGGCTCAGGATTGTGCTTCGTGGGCGTTTATGAGGGAGGCCTATGTTCAGCAGTGGACTCAAACAGGCTGAAATGATGATGATGATAATGAAGTATATTTTATTTAAGTATAATTGAAATTAACAAATATTTAAATTCAACTGCATAGCAGCAGAAACTTTCTCAACGATAAAGAAGCAGAAATATAATCATAGCTAGGTACTTTATTTAATTTAAATTCAATATGTGTTTTTTTTTGCAATAAATTGATTTTAAATGAAAATTTATTAATGAAACAATGTTATCAAATTTATAGTGTTTATTTGGGCCATCAAAAAATCAAAATCATTTATTTATTCATTAGCATAACCGTTTTGTAATGAGGTTCCTCTAACGGAGAAGAAACAGGCGAAATAAACTCCGTAGGTATCCTCTTTTTTGTCAATTTTTTTTTCTCATTTTTTCTCACCATATTGTTAAATATTATTATTTTATAATAACCATAAAAGGTTATCATTAAGTCTGTTCATCCTATAGCCTATGAGTACCAGGTTATAATGAAAACATCATGGTAAAAAAGTTAATACCAATTTAATTTAAAGCTTATTTCTATAAATACATCTATACACAATACATGTTGAACATATTTCGTAATAACATTTACTTCACAGGGAGCACATCACCCCAATTGCTTGACCTTGCGCATCTGTAAGTGGTCTGATCATATTTGCCTTTGGAGAAAATTATCTCTTTCAACTCTCCTTGCGCTGTGCACAGTCTGCATATAGTGTGACCAGAGCGCACTATTGGCGCCCTCACTATTCGAGGCCACTGGGGATCATCAGCAGGCCGTTCACCTTTCCTCAATATCACGTATGAAAACACGTCAGCTTTCACTTCACTCTTGGATGGAAACGGTAATGTTTCATACTTCATCAGAAAGTTACAAGGAGTCTGATGTTCCATATACCTGGGGCACACGGCGTCATTCGGACAAGGAGCAAAGGCATAACCTTTATTATGGCTCTCCGTTGTGTTTAAAACGAACTCCCTAGCTTCATTCACTATTTGGAAGCCGGCATTTGTGCCCTGCTCAACAATTATTAAGAAGTTTTCAGTCTTGTTCCATAATTTCTGTATAGTTTCTAATCTACTTTTCATATCCGGCATTTCGAACAAAGAAAACGCTGACAACACAATGTCATACTTGAGATCCGTTGAAGACGGTAAAAACTGTCTTTGGAAGTAGGCCTTGTAAGGTAATGGAACATTGTCTCTTCCCTGGCAGAGTATAAGTCGTGAGAGATCATTCATTTGTGATGAAGTGTCCACACAGAAATACTCTAAGATTTGACCTTCCCAAAAGGTGTTCACTGCCCATGTACCCGTGCCAACACCAGCTCCAAAGTCAAAGAAACTCCTCGGTTTGAAATCAGGCAATCTCCTATGTATCTCATCGAGAATACGCACTAGAATTGCGTAGTCGGGAGCCGCTCTGACCATTAAATATTGCAAGCTAGTGGGCTTGTCATATGAAATGTTCGCCCAACGGTACACGTTTTTCTTCAACACATTGAACACTGTGACCTGCACTTTCTTATTGTAATGCTCAACCTCCTCTTGGGTCAATTCCGCCCTATTTCTGTCGATTTGGGAGAAAACTTTATTGGAAACCGACCGATGAATTTGTGCGGCTTTATCTTTGATGTCACCGTCCTCCGGCGGTAATCTGCGCGAACGTAGATAATTGTAGAGGTCCTCACTCTCTTGGTAGAAGGCTTTTGCCCCCGCATCCTCTAATATAACTTTGATACCCTTTTGAATATCCGCTGGTATTGCTGCAACTTTAACTTTCGTACGGCCGGGGTGATCGCGCGGTTTATATTCTTTAGACTCGAAATTCTCTCTTAACCTAGCGTCGATTTCAACTTTCGTACTATATTTGGCGCATAAAGACGACAAGTAAGATGGTTTGATTTTTCTAAACATTATTTTGTATTTAGCTATCATCTAACCTCAAAGATATTCATAATCGCAATTCACAAATATTGTTGTTAAATGTTAACTAATATGACATTAACAGTAACAAGTGACATTTGACATAGCTGACACACACTGACAATGACAAGATGGATACCTAAGTAATTATTAAAGTAACACAACTATCTAAAAAAGGATTTCGAATCAACGATATCCATTCAACGTAACGTTAACGTTAACAATTTATGAAATCAAAGTACTTGGATTGAATTGATTGACAGTTTATCACAATTTGCGCACGAGGTTGGGGGTTGTATGCGGCTTAACTTAAATATTATTAAAGTTTTTAGTTCATATATTGATTAATTGTTTTTACGCGAATAATATGATTAAATGAACCCCATTCTTAAAACTTTAAACTCGGGTAACTCAGCTGTTTTACACTAGTCCCTGAACTACCCGAATTGCTGCCTAAACACGATACAAACCAGGCTACTTTCGACTCGCTCTCGTCATATTATGATTGTTAATAGTGACACTACGTCTGATCAAATTACAGGGTAATTACAATAATGTTTCATAATATAGATGATGCATATGCATACTGCGCAGCGTTTAAAAAATTTTCCGTTTTACGTTATCTAACATATATATGTCAGAGATAGGTGGATCACATGGGAAAACTCGTTGTCAGATCCCTCATCGGACATGTTGTACGCACAAAATAAAATTTGTCACGTAGTACTGTAGTTTACTTGTTCGATTAAAATCAACAATAACGAAAATAATTATTAACCACGCCGATGTAATTAAATGGAAACGCAGCAAGTTCGATACAGGAAGATGACCGTTCACACCGCCGTCCCTTTTCTAAGTGGCGTGCATAAAGTAATACTTTGCTAAAAAACATCTAAATATTCCAATTCCAAGCACAGGTTCAATTCGTTTGATTCGACCGAGTCTCCAAAAGGAGGCCTGAACATAACTAATACCTATAGGTATTTTGATACTGGGTTTTAGCACCAGGTATACCCGTACCTTTAAGGCCGGGTATAGAATGTTGCAGGTATATCTCATGCCTATGCCCGAGCACGTCCGGAACACACCCCCGTGTCCGATGTCAATTGACTTCCACGCTCATAACCGTCAAGTCCGCTCTCTCACTTCCTGTATCGACCTTACTCAAGCGCACTACTTGAAGTTTTCTTTCCAGAGCTACCAATAGATAATGGTACCAAAAAACAAAAGGTGTTGTAATCAAATTATAGCGCCACATCTTGATCCTAACTCTTTTCGTTCTACATCATCATGTAGAACGGAAAGAGTAGCAGTCATGCTGATGAAGAACGGAAAGAGATAGCAGTCACTCAAAAATACACCAATTGTTGAGTTATTAAAATTACACCAATTGGTGTAATTTGGGTACCTCAGTTTCGATGCGCTAGTATCATATCGCCCTCTTTTTTATATAATATCATTGGCTAATTACATAAATAAATGCGGAACTTTTTGTTTTGTAAAACAAAACATTTACAGGGGTCTTGCAGTTGCAACAGCATGGCATCGTCGTGTCATTGCCCTTCACCAACTACTTCTTCTGTCCTATGTTCTCGTGAGTCCGCGGGCCAAATCCCAACACCGCAATCTACACTTACTAGAAAAAGTTTGTTTGTTTGTTTGACCACAATTCATGACTATTGATATTGAGTTTATTTTTATATGACATTGACAGCACTTGATAGCAGACAGCAGTTGTCAATTGTCATGCATGGTCAATCAATGTCATAAACATTATATATTTTCATGTGAGGTTATACCTAATTTCCTATGAAATAATTGTTAAAAGGTATAAATAACCAGATATGACTGTTAGACCGCGCGCTAAACCTCTGGACGGTGACGAAGATCCCGTTGAGTCTATGTTAAAGAAAAGCGGCTGTTTAGAGCTGCATTACAAAGTGCAAGTAAATAATATTATATTTAGATAAAATCGTCAGGGCTTCAATACTGTTTCAGTATTTCTGCGTTATCAAATATATTTAATCCATTATTTTATTTAGTAAACGATTCTCATGAAACCACGCTGGTTTTTTTATTTACCACTACTTCTATTTTATGAAACTAATATGACGGATTGATCTTTTTGTTATTCCACAGGAATGTATAGCAACTACAAAAGACTGGAGAAAGTGCCAGAACGAAGTTAATGACTTTAAATGCTGCATTGAGAAGCACAAACAAATACAATAAAAGATAAAAGTTAAACTTCTTTATTAGGAAATAAATTATTAATCGTAGTGGTAATAAATTATTTTGCAATTGAATTTGTGATTTTTTTAAAGCTTTTTACACAGCCAATGTTAACTTGTAAAGTACCTGACATATTCTTAGATTAACAATTTATCTCAGTTCTAAATGTACCCAAATAATTTAAGTGCATAAATGGTTTTCTACGGTGATGGATGCAATGTATATTCTATTTAATGACATTTGAAAAAGTCATGGACCCATAGTAGTCCCAATAGTTTATGTATATATGTAACAAGTATTGTTAACAAAACTGCCAATCTGGTAAAGGTAAAATCAAACTGGACTAGGAATAAAACAAACATGATTTAAATAAAACATTTATTAAAAAAAATCTCTATTTAATTTATAATTAAACACTAAGACACTAGGCTAAGATTTTGCTCTTGTGGTGGAGTGCAATGTAAGCAACCAGAATTGAGAGGGCAGTGGCAAGCACCTCCGAGTTCACCCAGGGTCCGGAGTAGCCTGTCAATGAAAAAGTTAAATTTGCATTTCATTCAAATGTGGCATTTGGCTTTGAAAAGATTATACAACCTATTAACCACTCAATATTAGTTCATTCTTCATTTACCTATATGGTAATATTGTTTAGTTATCGGTGATGGCATTAAAGTCTTATTGTTACTACTTCATTAATGTATGAGAAAATGATTTGTGGCAGCCTACATGGGAGCAATTAAAAACTCTTTTTATTTTATATTAAACTATTTCAAAGATGCATATTAAATTGTTTTAAAAATTTTACAGCGCCCATATGAAACGAACACTCAAACTTTGGGTGAAAGGTATTTCTCGTTATTTATGGAAAATATCCTTTGTATCTACACTGTGTTAGAATAGTTGGGTATAGGTTACTAACAAGGAGCGTGTTGCTTTAGCACCAAGTACTTGAATGGCAACAAACTGTGAACGACAAGCAAATAGCTAATGACAAACAAAACAGTAAATGTATGGGCAAACTTACTGCCTGGGTGTTGAAGTTGGATGGCCAGGAGAGGAGCTACGTTTGCATTGGGATCAGAGCGGCGTGCGCGGCGCAGAGACGCCCAACCCTCCTCGTCCAAGACCCTCACCTCATGGACCCCTGAACGGGCAGTCGATGGCTCTTCAGTCCATGATACCTGTGCATGAATAATTCTTTAGCTTATATTTACCTTTACTTAATTACTCTTTTTAGTTTCAGTCCTAGATTCTATGTAAAGCTACATCATTAAAGGCGGCCATAAAAATGCCAATGTCTTCACAGATTACCTACTTATTGAAATTAAGTAATAACCTATGTCTTGATGTAGATGATGTGATCTAAAATATGGCTATAATTTTGTAGGTTAACTTTATAATCCTTATAGTACACTAGATATCATTTTTGACCATATGTTCATATAAAATAAATTCTATGTATTGTTGATACAAATTTTGTGATCAACAATGGACCTTTATTACCGGGAACCTTCATAACCAATTACATACTGTGAGTAAATAAAGCCAGAATTTAAAACCCTCATAACCTCCTCCTTGTATATCCTCACTTTATAAGTTGGTGAGTATCATGCCCATTGAAGATTAATTCAAAATTAGAAGATTTAAGTTTTCCAAATTATAATCTGGCTTTGGGCTCTCATGACCTTTGACGCAATAAATTTAACATTAATGAAGGTAGAAGTAAAATGTAACAAATTAAAAACATTTTACACATATATACTTATAATAACTCCATTAACAAACCCAAAAAGGTCCTGTATAAAGCACTCAAAATAATTCTTATTGACGTATGTTATGTTGATGAGTAAAATAATATAACCAATTTCTTACGCACCTGATATTTGTTTTCACCGATACGAGCAGCGGTCAACGGTTTTCCCTCCACTTCAGCGTACAGCGCGTAGTTTTCAGGCAAGGGATTATCGCATTTTAATGTGAATTCCGTAATGTAAGCGATTTGTGTCACTATCGTTGCATCTAAACTTGTGAATGAAGCAGCTTCGACTTGGGGGTTTTGGCAGCCCTGGGCTTTCACGCCGTTGAATAGAGCAATAGCTAATACTGATATCACGAATTTTGTGACCATTTTGCAGCCTTTTGTGACTTAGAAATTAAAGCAATATGATACAAATCAAGTTGTCCACGTACTACCTAAGTTTAAAATAAAATGTATAGCAGCTTGTGATTGTGACAGTATACCGAAGTACGTTCTAACGCAGAGTTATATTTAAAGTGGTTTCAAGCAAGTTTGCCGAAATAATTTTTATCAAATGAAATAACTGATAATTTAATACGAAAATTATGGAAAACATATAGATAAATATGAATAAATATATTGTTGTGTAATCTTTTAGTTGATAAAATTAATTTCTAAGACGGTAATACTAATCTCTGAATTTCTGAACAAGATTCAGAACGGACTTTTAGGACAACAGCGGTGACGTGTGGCTAACATGCCAAATGGTCACCCGTCATTTGTAGTAATAGTTACGTTCATAATTATTTTTCTTGATTGTAGGTGCCATTGATACCGGTTAAATTAATTAGCTTGGAATTATAGTACCTAATGTCAAAAAGTTGGTTTCCATGGCAATACCGTGAAATTGATCGTTTTTATATTTTTCCAAACACAATTATAGTATTATAACTTCAAAAAATAAATTAATAAAATCAGATTTGGTTTCTCTTTTTACATTCAGCAATGGCCCACACAGGTAGACATACATACATACAGCCAAAACATTCCTTCCCATGCATATTTACAAATAACAAAGAGGGTTGGGTACAACCCTCTTTTATTGCATTCGCTGTTGACTGATTAAAATAATTTACTTCTGTTCAATATGTTTGTCTCTTACATTCCGGAATTTTAAAAAGAACTCCTTTTTTTTCAATTTTGAATTTATGCAAACAGTGTATCTCATTATTTTTTTGTAGATACTTGTTGATATTAAGAACGAACGAATTATTCAAGAAATTTGTTGTTATTAAAATTTACTAGACTTGTGGAGATTCATTCGTGAGCTGACTGACAGGTGTCGTTAGATTAACAGCATATCAGCTATATCTTTATATTATTTCTCAACGGTATTTTTTGTCGGTACGCCATAACTTCCAAATTCAACAACTTAAATGATTTAATCACCAAAATAATAATACTGCTGAACCCACGTTTAATCGGTTATGTACCAACTTGTTTCTAACACAGGTCAAAACGCGTTGCCGACCTTAATTAAGGTAGGAATAGGCTCTCTTCTTGAAGGTCCGTAAGTCGTATCGGTCTGGAAATGCCACTGGCGACAATTCGTACCACGAAGTAGTTAACAACGCGTGGTAGAAAATTTCGCGAAAACCGCACAGTGGTGGACCGTCAACCATCAAGGTGGTGTCGATGGTACTTGGCGGTTTGACGAGTTGGGCGTGGCGACATGGGCGTCATAGTTACACTAGAAGGTCACCAGCTGAGCGACCGCGTCGAAAACCGTACTGACGATCGTTAATGAGCTGGTTGTCCTCAAGGTACCTAAGGAGCTGGCAGTTTATAATGGACTCCATTATTTTAGAGAATAAAGTGGTGAGGGCAATAGACCTATAGTTCGACGGAACGGAACGATCACCTTTTTTTGGGATCGGGTGCACTAAAGCCGTCTTCCAAGAAGTTGGGACAATGCCTAGGGAGTAAGAGTGCCGGAAAAGACGCGTTAGAACCGGTGCCAACTCTGAAGCACACGTCCTTAACACAATGGGAGGTATTCTGTCTGGCCCGCTCAACTTTTGGATGTCTAAGGAGATGAGAGCTTTACGCACTGTGCACTGCAGAAACCTTATTTCTGGCATTGTGTGCTCACACCGCGGGATGATTAGCGGTGTGTTTGTTCGAGTTAGACGCGAAGAGGGTGCCCAAAAGCTCGGCTTTCTCTTCAGCGGTGTGGGCTAACGAATCATCTCCCCTGTGCATAGATGGAAAAGATTGCGTACAGAAATTTCCTTGGACAGCCTTGGCGAGAAACCAGAATGCACGAGTCCCTGAAGGAAGGTTAACTAATCTCTCGCCAATTTTGCCAATGTGCTCTGAATTTGCTGATGCGATTGCTCTTTTGAAGGACCTAGAGGCAAAATTGTACTCTCTTATAAGGTGACTGGTATTTACATCCCTAGACGCCACCGCAACGGTCCAGGCCCGATAACTCTCCTGTTTATGGCGAGATGCCTCTTTGCAGAAGCGACGGAACCAGGGATTGGATCTGCCGCCAATGGGAACCGTAGAGAATGGGATAAAAAGTTCCATTCCCTGAAGCACCACATCGGCGACAGAATCAGCGATGGCACTGAGATCATCCAGCAAGAAGCAAATCTTGCCCCCGGGATAAGATGCAAAGAAGGACCGCATCCCATTCCAATCTGCTGACCTGTAATGCCACACTCGACGGAAACTCACACAACGCGTAGGCGTACTGCGTGCAATGGGCACTACGCTCCGGACCAGACAGTGGTCTGACGAGCCAAACGGTGCATCGACAGAGACCTGGTAGAGGTCGGGATGAGTGGTCAGCAGAAGGTCCAACAGGGAAGGAGAATGATTTAACACATTTGGGATCCGCGTAGGCATAGTGACCAGCTGTGTCAAATCATTCGCAATGGCAAAGTCGTGTACAGTCCTCCCCGCATGATCGGTAGTATGTGACCCGAGCCACTCGACGTGATGGGCGTTAAAATAACCAAGGATCACGATCTCTGCGGTTGGGATCTGTTTGAGCACATAATCTGTACCCATTTGGACGTGGTTGATGAGTCGTTCTGTTTCGGTGTTGCCACTATCGGACCTATAAAGGTGAGACCTATAGACGCGAGGGTGGTCGTCGCTGTCTACACCTAGCCATATGATGGACAGGTCCATAAAATACCTTTCTTTACACCGATCTGTGAGGCCGTAGTACTTCCCCGGTTTGAGCCGGCCCAATTCAGCATCAGCAAATGCCGATGCGTGGCTCTACCACGTATAAGATTTATTAAGAATTATTAAAGAGTTTGGGGTAATCAATTTACTATTATGTAAATAAGTTTGCTTTTGTTTGTGTGGCCAAAAAACATATAGGAGAGGACTCAGATTGGTTGCAAGTTACTTCGATAATTTCAACTAAAATTTATAATAACTGCTGCGAGTAAACGCCTAAATATGGCTAAATGGCTAGTAATAACAACTTCTTTTTTAAGGATTGAAGACCCCGACTTAATGGGCTTTGACCCTGCCTTTTGCGCCAGAGGGTGTGGGTTTGATTCCCACTACTGAAAAAATATAGTGTTATGAATATAGTGTTTTTCTAGTGTCTGGGTATATATGTATAATATTTATTTGTTTACAAAGGAAAGTATGTAAGTACGTGTATCAGTTATCCAGTAGCCATAGTACAAGCGTCGCTTAGATTAGGAGCGTAGCGAACGTTGTGTAAAAATGTTTATGTCCTAAAAATATTTATTTATGTACTTTTAGTGCTAGTCTCTGTACTTAAGATGAAATTTTATAATTGTTGAAAATATCGAAATATAGCTACGTCTTTCTATTGCATCTATAGTAATGCTTAGCGCCATCAAGTGTGCACCTTAGCCTAGTTGGTAAAGCGTCTGGGCGCGACACTAAAGTCGCAGGGTCGAATCCCGCAGCGCCGAAAGAAAATAAAACTAAAGTTAAAAAAAAAAAACCTGTGTTATCATATCATCATATTATTTGAGTACCGAGTTCCGGTCATTTTGAAACGCAATTCAAGCCCCTGTTTAGCCAGTTTTTACGTTTGGCGTGGAACCCAAAATACATTTCTCTACGGGATTTCATTAAAACGGGACATCTGTATGGAACTCTTAATTGTAGATTCCATGTTTTATGACATATTCAAAACCCAAAATATATAAAAATTTTACTAGAGATTAACCTTCGGAGTGACTGCTCTGTTTTAGGTTAAATATTTAGCCAACCTCTAATTTCAGCTAAATGTGAAGGCTCCTATGTTTTCATACGGTATATAAAACATCACTAGCGCAGCGAAATTGAGACGCTCAAATTACACCAACTGGTGTAATTCTATAGACTGCTATCTCTTTCCTCCTTGAATCTTGATATGTTCTGTATATCATCCGTCTCATTCACATATTGATAAATAATACAAAACCTAGTTATTAGGTTTTATTAAGCAGAAAATATATACATACGTAAGAACAATTGTGTCAGTAATAAGGAACATCCAAAAGAATAATTTTAAAAACAATGTTTACATTTATGGCGAATGGCCAGTATTATATCACTTACCCTATCGAGTAAAAGTAACAATCTTTTAAATATTCTGGCCGCTTAAGTAACATAATCTTTTAAATATTCTGGCCGCTTTTTAGTTCTAACCGGTCGCTCCATTGTCATTACTTCTCTACATTGTTCATTATCTTCTTCTCGTATATTTCTACATATTTTAATGTTCAATCTTAAGTGCAAAGATTAGCACTATAAACAATTTAAATTTCTTAAAAAGCAATGGCGACATCTCTCGTTCGAATTATCGTTGTAAAACGATATTCGAAGTTGTTGGTATGCTGGAAAGGATATAACAATAGATGGCGCCAAGCATTGCTTCAAATGCTAAGAAAACAATGTAGACGGAAGCCGTTAAGATTTTCGTCGGTGTAGTAATCAGCCGTTTAGCTCAGTGGCTAGAGCGTCAGGCCGCGAATGCCGAAGTCGTGGGTTCGATTCCCACAGCGGCGACAATCTTTTCGCACTTTTTCTACATATTTTAAAATTCTTCTCGTATATTTCCACTTGGGAGATTATTTGATTATTATTTTCTTCAATTTCCGTAGTATTTTCGATAAACTCCGATGAATCTAGAGGCGCTAGATGTCTGTTAGATACCGTCTCTTCCCTTCCATCAGGTAAACGGACATATGAAAAGTCAGGATTTGATTGTAATAGCTCTACCTCCTCGACTACAGGTGAATATTTTGAAGCCCGATTATGCTTTTTCATAAACACTGGCCCTGGCACCATCAACCACGATGGTAATGTTGCACCGTTTTCAGATCTTCGATTATGCCTGAACA